GGTGTCGCTGACTTCTTCTCCACTGGCTTTCACGACTCTCGATGGCAACACAAAAGGAGCGTTCGTGCTCGCCTTAATATTTCTATTCCACGTATGACACTGCGTAGGCCACGGTCAAATGCCACATCTGGTTGTTCAGCAACGTGCCAGGCTCAATCGTAAAGGCAAAAAGCAGGTTCGCTGTTCGTTTCCCCCTGGGACTGTTTGCGGAGGCATTTTTTCTAAAATGAATCACGACATCCCCTTTTCACATGGGCATTTCTCTGTGTGTGTGACTGCTAATGTGATGCAGAGAAAAGAAAACCAGAAGTATTTGTGCAAAGCCATCCAAAGACAAGCACTGCGTAAAAATCGTGACTGTAATGCAGAGCTAAAGGTCAAGGGACCCCCGACCATTAGGTCCAGTCGCTGATGACTCTGGGGTTGCGGCGCTCATCTCGCTTTATTGGACGAGGGAGCCGGCGTACAGCTTCCGGGTCATGTGGCCAGCATGACTAAGCTGCTTCTGGCGAACCAGAGCAGCGCATGGAAACGCCGTTTACCTTCCCGCCAGAGCAGTACCTATATATCTACTTGCACTTTGACATGCTTTTTAACTGCTAGGTTGGCAGGCGCAGGGACCGAGCAATGGGAGCTCACCCCATCGTGGGGATTCGAACTGCCAACCTTCTAATCGGCAAGCCCTAGGCTCTGTGGTTTAACCCACAGCGCCACCCGCGTCCCCTAATGCAGAGTTACATCAGCGTTAATAATCCTAAGCCAACCACCAGATCTGAGCAGATCTGATCCCTCCCCATGCAAGTACAGAGGGGCATGTGTAGAAGAAGTGATGCGGGGGTCAGAAGAAGCTCCCATTCTTCCCCCAGCACAATCATGGGCTGAAATGCTGCACACATCAAGGTGAATAGGAAGAACAGGACACCAAGTGAACCCTGTGTTGACTCATCCAGAAATGCTCCCAGACAGATTATATGCAAAGCTGAATGAAATCCAATCAACGGGGCAAGACATTTAGAAAAGTCTAAATATCTAAGCTGTTAAATAAAATATACAGAAGTAAAGCTAGCCAGAATGAAGCAAGAAACTGGAAGAAGTCAGCTTCCACTTCTGTTAATGGCCAGTGTGATGCAACGGTTAGAGGGTCAGACTTGGAGTAGAAAACCCCGGGTCCAAATCCCCACTTAGCTGTTAAGTTCACTTGGGCCAGTCACAATCTGTTAGCATAACGTACCTCCTCACAGGGTTGTTGCAAGGACAAACATGGTGTTATGTACTGAAGTTCTCACCCTGGGCCAGCAGGGGGATACTGTAGATAGTTATGCAAATAAGGGATTGAAAGTGACGTTCAGTGATTGGATAGTTTTAGAAAGTTGTTACAGTAACGTGTACTGGAGCTCTATATAAGCAGGCTGACTGAACACTTCAGTTCAGTTCTGTCCTGGCCTGTGAATAAACAAGAGCTGTTTGAAGAATTGCTGTGTCGTCTGATATGTTCACCCACAACTTAACACATGGGATGTTGCATTATTCCACCAGTAACAAAGAATTCCCACTTCTGACATGGCTAGACTGAAGTTTTCCAAAATAGGGATTGTCATGGACATGAGCAACCAGCTGCCTGTCGAACATCATGATAAATCAGATATTATTATGCACCAAAGTTCGGATACGTTTTCTTGATCCTTGTCCTTCTATTCTTCTTACTATTTTTAATGTAATCAAGTATGAACTGAAGGAGTGAGTGAATGTTTAAATGGATGTTAGCCATCAATAGCTTTCAGCAGTTTAGCTATCTCAAATAAACAGGACTTTGCCTCTGAGAAGATGAGCTACTTTCCTTGCAAGCTACGAATCAGCAAGGCATGAATTGGTGTCAATCGAGGCAGTAGTCTTACAAAAGCATCCTGATAGGGCCAGAGAGCCCTGTAATCATGATGCCAACTTGTTTCGTCAGAGTAAGCAGAGAAAGAGGCTAGGAGCAAATGGGGGGGGGGTTGCTATCCCTGCCAAACATATGTGCATGGATGAGAACTCTTGAACAGATAGAACTAATAAATTATTGAAAACTGGTACCGTTGCCTGGGTCCCCTTCCAAACCCAGGCTACATTCATGACATGCCAAAAAGGACAGTGTTTTTGGTTTCTGTATGTGAAAGCACCTTTGCTATGGCTGCAAGTTGGTGTATAAGTCAACAATGGATACAAGCATTGGAGCCCTGAAGGCATATTTACACTGCAAATGTACATCATATTGTACCATTGTAATTGTCATGGCTTCCCTCAAACAATTCCAAGATTGTGTTCCTTAATGATGATGTTGAGAATTCTCTGTCACCATCCCTCCTGCACACCCACAGAGAACTACAAGTTCCCAGATATTCCCTGCTGTGCAGATATGCCAAGTGGCAGGAAAGTGAGTTGGCGCAACGTCTAGTCATCCTGATGCCAAAGGCACAAGTTACGCAGCCAAGGAAAAGCATCCCATTGGGAGGTTCCCATGTTGTGGTCCACAACATGTTTTGGAAAGTTAATTTTGGATAGAACAAGCACAGGATTTTTGCATTTAAATGAGTACAACTCTGTTAGCACATGACATCTCACGTTCCAAAGACTAACTTGACCCAACAATCTCTCCCTCCCCTCTCCATGCAAACAAATCTCACTGCAGCCAACTAAAGACAACCAACCATGCTTTGTCCACCCCCCACCCCCCGCCAAGGAAATATAATGAATGAATAGAAAGAGAATCTACCCAAGTGACGCTCGCTGACACAAAACCTCACACATACACTATGTAAAAGAATGCAAGTTTGCCACCCACCTCTCTTCTCCCCCAACCTTATACTGTATACAACATCAATGTCTCACATAGGACAAAACTGATTTGTAGAAAAGATACTATGACCTGAAAATAGACAATGCACACACTTTTGTAACCCCAAAAAACTTGAATAAAAATTGTGTGTGTGTGTGTCACTGTATTAACACTCCAACAGATCTCACCTCTCGATTAAGTTCCCGGGGTGCCCCACAAACCATAGCTTTGGATTCAGCCCACAAAGAAAGTCAGCTTTGAGCTCCCAGCATAAGCAAAACTCACCCACATACGCTAACCCTCCTGGCTATGGTTCTCCTTCCTAGGGTGGTAAGGCCCACTCCACTCCTCCTGGGAGCATCTCCTGTTAATCTCTATAACAACATGGTCATACCTCCAGTTACAGAGATAAGGATATTTAACTGGCCATCAATTTGACAAAGAAACTAGCTTAACCAGTTCAGCAGTTCCTCGATCCTATGACAATATTTTCTCATTTAAAGCTGGATTTACTTTTTCCATGGAAAATCTGGTTGTTGTTTTTTTAATTAAAAAACCCCCCAATAACTAGAAATCGTAAATCCAGATGAAAGATGCAGTCCTAACCCTGGTTTCAACTAGCCAACAAGGAGGACATGAGCACAACTGGCTTCTCCATCTTGTGACCCCCAGCAACTGAAAATGGTTTTGGAGATACTACATAGCCATCATAACTAGAAGCCACTAATGAGCTGGCCTCTGTGATAGATCTAGTAGTATTAATGCTCTGGGGGGTGGGCGCTGAGGCTGAGAATTCCTGGCCTAGTTAGGTCAACCTAATGATAACGTGGCAGAAACGGTATTTAAACCAGGTACCTTCTCAGTTTATTGTTTCAGTTGCTTTCAGCCAAGGCCGGATTTAGGTTTGATGAGACCCTAAGGTAATGAGACCCTTTGTATGTCCAGCTGTCCTTTGTCAACAACAAATTGCCGCTGTTTTTTGTGTTGAATATATGATATGGTAACTGATGGACCTAATTGGTATCTAAAGCCATTTGCACATAACAAAATATGTACATCATAGGAGCCTACACAACACAAAACACTGTTGCTGTATGTAGGTTTTGTTTGTTTTTTTATCTTATATTTTGGAAATGTACATCCAGGTGTTTTTTTCCCCTCTAATGTTTTTTGGGGAGCCCCAAGAGAGTGGAGCCCTAAGCTATAGCTTGTTTAGCTTATGCATAAATCCAGCACTGCTTTCAGCCTATAGCAGTATCTCTGGCTTTCTTGTTTTTTAGTGCAAGGGCTATGTCCCCCCCTCCACTCTCAGAGGCAGAGGCAGAATACTTCTGAATACCAGGTGCTGGGCCCTGCCAAGTGTCTTAGGCTTCCCAGCGGCATCTGGCCGGCCAGGTGTGAACAGGATGCTGCACTGACTAGGTGGGACCCGGCACGGCTCTTCTGGAGTCCTGACGCGCAATGCTAGCCCGCAACAACGATGCACTAAAGGCAAGAAGCGTAAGTGGGCGGAATGGATCTTTTCCTCCCATTAAGGAGGAAAAAAAGATGGAGCGAAGGGTGGCCAGGATCAAATAGCAGCGCGTACACAGGGCAGGGATCTGGAATGCGCCGAGCTGGGAGCGGCGCGTGCCGTTCTTTGGCACCGATGATGGCTAGGGAAGCGCTAGCTTGGCTTTATTTGCGGAATAAAAACGCCGCCCCTCCCTTCTCAACCGTTGCTGGACGATCCCTCCAGCAAGCCCACGTGCAAACGGCCAGGGATCCCAAACGACTGAAGGAGCAGCGCATCTAATGCCCCCTTAAAGGGCCACCCCCGCCCCCCAAACGCCTGCACCTTGTAAGTCCACCTTAAAAGCCAATTCGTGGAGGGAACTGGGGAAGGACCGGACCATTTTCCTGAAGGAGGTGGGTCCGAACTTGCCGACCCTGATGCCAAAAAGACCGTCTCCGTCTCTGTCAGTCTTAAGCAAACCCGTTCAGAAAAATAAAGCCTGCCAATCGCTTTCTTCCCTCCCCGCCGCCTTCCTGCGCGCGTTTGAGCCGATTGTATTTATAATCGTCCCGGTCGGCCTTTAAAGAACCCCACAGGGCGGTCGCTGTAGCTTTAAGAGGGTAGAGCTGGGCTGATTGGACGCGGACGGGGAGGGGGCAGGAGAAGGCGTGACTGACGGGGAGGGGGCGGTTTCATGACCATCTTCTCCTCGGAGTGCTTTTCCAAAGGGATGGCTTTACTTTGAAGAGAAAGAAGCGCCAACTGGAGCCAGAGAGCAGCTTGTCCTGGGACGGGCGAGGCTTGGGCCAAGCCGGGTGCTGGCGGTGAGTGACTTCTGGGCTGCATAAAGCGCAATCTTTTTTGTTTTGTTTTCCCCCACCGAGAGGCGATGCATGTGAATCTTGAGCAGAGTTCTGCTATCAAAGCTTGCGATTGTCAAACGCTGCACACCCTGTAACTTGGAGGTCTCTCATTTCCAGAAATGTAGATCTCTCTTCGTATTAACTAGCCTGGCCAGAGTTATAATTCTACCCCTTCGAAGAGGTGCCAGTGAAGAACTTCGCCTGTGTAGTTCGCCTCTTTCCTGCAAACTATTTTCTGTTCTTTCAATGGCTAAATATAGTTCTGTTCGGATGACCTAATTTGTTGGGCGATATAGGGAGAAGCCTCTTTTTTGGTAACTGTTTAGCAGTACAGTTATTCGTGAGCAATAATAATTTATGCAGCATACTTAGGAATGCTTCCCCCCCCCCCCCGCGTCGGTTCTGTGTTTACTCAGAAGCATGTCCCATTGTACTAAGTGCGGTTTGTTTCCAAGCTAAATTTATACAGAACTGCAGCCTCAGTTGATCAAAGTATATTTCACATGCCTGACCTTTATGCTTGGACTCTTCTCTGGCTGCTTTTGGAGATTCCTTTCAAGAATATACTTTAAAAAAAAAAAAGGAAAATGCATACACCTCTCTTTTCTAAAAGATCATTGGCTCAAAAACCGAAAGCCTCAGAACTGAAGCTATTGGCCTGAAAGGTACATAATAAAGAGCTGGAAACAAAAACAAAAAGCTGCTTCACAGCAGGGGAAGATGAAGGAAATGAATGAATAGCAAGCTTATACCACAGTAGCATGCACGGTTACTCAGAAATAAGTCTCACTTTGTTCAATGGGACTTGTTCCCAAGTAAGTAGTTCTAGGGTTGCAGCCTTAACGAAGCTTTTTTTTTTGTATACAGAGTATAACTAGCATACAGAATCTAATGTTCTGACTGAAAATCTGGTCTCTAGCTAGGTATGAAACAGATTTCATGTGGAAAAACCCAGTCAGTAGTTAAGCCAATTCATATAAGCAACATAAGGCTGATCTACCAGATTGATTCTGTGTTGTGTAGTGTTGGGTTTGTCCGGAATCTGGCACTGTGGACTTGGCTAAGTGAAAATATGAATAGTTGGAAAGTGGATTACCCCATCTTTGCCCAATTTATTGTAGGAGTTTACAGCCGAAGCCTCTGTTCTTCTGCTCTTAAAGCAAGCCCCTGTCAGTCTTATTCTCAGGAAAGTATGCATAGGATTGCAGCCTTAAGAAAGTACGTAACTGATACTGGTCATTGTTAAGAGTTCAGAAGGTGTATCTGTGCTTGACAATGTCAAAACAAGACAAGAATAGTTTTTCAGTGCATCCGATGGAATGGACTCTCATCCTCAGAAGCTTTTGTCACAGTAAACTTTTCAGCCTTTTTAAGGAGCTACTTCTTTTGTGTCACACACAAAGTAATAGACTAATATGGTTATCCCTCTGAGGGTCGAAATGTGAAATGGATGAGGTAAAATAACCTTGTGATGAACTGCTTCTCTCAAAAAGTTGCATGTGACTTGACTCTTTGGCATGTAGCCATGTGACAGCATTGCCACACAGCCAGCTTGCAACATTTAGGGCTTCTTTACACGTGATTTTCCTGCACAAATATGACTTGCACGTGGGGGGCGGGGGGAATTAGCAGAATGTGTTATGCCTATTCTGTGCATTTGCGTCTCCTGCAGTGGCGTGCATGGAAACCGTCACCCCTTTGTCACAACAACGCTTCAGCCACATTGCAAGTGGAGCTGCAAACTTGAGCCTGTAAGAGGGGAAACTGTATGACTACATACGCCACATCACGGGCATAGCCAGGATTTGAGGGGGGGACAGAACCGAGTTATCTGCGACACAATATTTTATTTATTTACATGGTTTAGGGGAGCAGCTGCCCTCCCTGCACCCCCATTCACCACATGCCATGTTTCTGCCCGGATTCACTACTTCCATATTCTCAGCTGGATCAATTCAGAATGCAAATTATTGCTAGCCCATTTTGTCACAGGACTAAAAGGCACTTTTGAAACTCATATTTGTGCCTTGCATGAATGTTTCTGATGCATGATGGAATAGAGAAGAGATATGGAAGGTTTGCAAGCATGTTTCCTTTTGTGAAAAGACTAGAGAGGAGATGGATGGGAGGAACTATAGCCACCTCATCAAACTTGCAGACAGTTCTTGGACCAGTCACTATCCTTAGTTCCACAGTAGCCACTGGTACCCTCCAGGTGTGAGCTCCACTCCCATCAGCTAGCATGGCCAATAGTTGGGAATGATAGAAGTTGCCGTTGGCAACATCTGGAGGGCACCATGTTGCTTACCCTTGTTTTAGATTAATCTTTCTCACGCGACTATTGTAAAGTGGATTTGGATTTGGAAGAATGGCATAGTATAAGTAAATGAACTTTTAAACCAAGGCTTATTCATAATTTTAAATGCATTGCCTGTTTGTAGCTGGGGTTTTTTTGTGTTGTTGTTTTTTGTCTAGGAGTTTACATCACTTTCACAAGAAAGTAAAAGTATTATTTTGTGGTGGGGAGAGATTTCTCTGCAGTGATGTGGAATGCCCTCCACTAAGTGGAGCAACTTGAGCCAACACTGATTTAGTCCAAGGTTTTATGACATATTTGTCTGCTCTGAGTATTCAGTCTGGATTCTTTAACCTGCTCTGCGATTGGCAGATTTTAGCTGCCTTAATTTGCTGTTGCTACATTTAGTAACTCTGTTGTATGGTTGGCTTATTTGTTAACTTAGTATCCATTGAGAGGAATGTGGGTATAAGTATTTTCAATAAATAAAACGCAAAGACTTTAACACACTGGAGGATCAGAAGATACATATATCAAGTTGTTTGTATGCCACGTTTCCACAGTTTATCTGTGTTCAGGGTGGCTTGCAACATGAAAATAATAATAATTACTGCAACATAACAAAAGCAGTCATAATCAGTAAACCAAACATCAAAAATACGCAGCCAAACTGAACAATTTCCACATAACTCACAACAAGATCTAAAATAAAGATACAAGAAACCAACAAGAGTGCAACAGCCTCTGGTTTTGTCATTGGAGTCACTCAGGGCTCTGCCATCCCAGACCAGGTGGGGAAAGGCCTGCAAGGCAAGGAGCAGGTCTTCCAGGACTCACAGCCAAAATGCCTCACACATGCACACAAGAGTATCAAGTCTTGGTGAAGAGTCGATTGATACAACTAAATAGATGGTTCATTTTCCCCAAAGACAAGAGATGTATGAAGGAATCCATTGTGAATGCAGTGTGTGACAATCAAGTCAAGCGTGCTGTAGTGGATAGAGTGCTTGACTGCATTCAACTGCTGATTCAGCCACTAAGCCATACAGTATTTCACTAACCTGGGTCCTCCCAATGTTTTGGACTACAACTCCCATCATCCTTAATCATTGGCCATGCTTCCTGGGACTGATGGGAGTTGTAGTCCAAAATGCCTGGTGGTCGCGAAAGGTTGCACTAAACTCCTTGGACGGCCTTGGCCCATTTACTGTGTCCTAGCCTAACCAACTCACTGGGTTGCTGGGCGGATGAATGAGGATAACCTTCCATGGGCTGCCCTGATCTCCCTAAAGGTTAAATAGGACCATATGCCTCGCATGAGTCTTTCTGTTCTAAGCTTCCTGTGTTCCTATTACACCCCCCCCCCCACACACACACCTTTATCATTGGAACATTCTTGCATGGTAGGTTATTCTTAAGCAAGACCTCCTAGTGAGATTCATGACTTATATAGCTATTAGCTTTCTTGTTTTCACAGCCATTTATGCCTTCGTAGTATTGTATGGTGTGTGCTTTTATGTTTTCCTTTTTGGCAGCTTGTATTCTGCATGTTGCCACCTTTTATTGTTCATTGTGCTATGCCAAAAGCTGTAATCAAGTTTGTAATCTTCTAAGATCTATTGCACTGCCCCACCAAACCAGTTGGACAAAATGTTTCAGATTAAGATATGAGCCCACTTGCCAAATGAGGTCTCCTGATCTCCTCCTGCAGGGGTGGGGACCCTGTGAACCTCCAGATCTTGTTGGATCCTTACAAACTATGGATCTTCTTCCCTGAAGTTAGGACAACTCTTTGCTCTAAATATTTCCATCCTGCCTTTCTGTGAATTCTTTCCATCTGTTTGGAGGTGGTGTAAGACCCTCCTCATCCATTTAGCTCTGGATTTTTTAATTTTTAAAAAAACTGTTTTCTATAGTTCTTTAAGAAATTCTGTAGTAATGTACTTATGTTGTTGTGTTTTCAGTTTTAATTGGGGGTTTTTAAAGACATTCACTATGAACAACTCTGAATTGCTGTGAAAGTGGTATAGAAGTATTTTAATTTTAAAAAATGCATTAATGAAACGTATTTCCCTATTAGGAATCAGTCCCTTGATAATAATAATTTAAAAAATGCACGTGTAGTGTTAGGGGGACTCTGTCAGCATCAAAAAGAAGCATTTATACCCTAAATATATTCAATACAACATGAAAGGTCCTGACCCTGAAACTGAATCTTCCCATAACATTTGCTGGAAATCGATGGACATTTTAAATGGCTGCAAAAATCCATTTGTGTGGGGCTGGGCTTTAGGATGGATGCAATTAAGAGAAATTAGCAAGGGGAAAGTTAACTGGCAAAGAAGTCCAATTTGCCCACGGCAGTGAAATACTTCTGGCTGCCAGAACTCTCAGTATGGAATAAGGTGTGCTCTACAACTGCAGCGTCTGCTTGGGACTAATGAGTCAGGCAACTAATGAATAGTTACCATGGGTACACGCACAAAAAGTTGCTGCCCCCTATTATAGGGGGGTCATATCCATCAGCCCAGAGTTGAGACCAGGGAGGTGCCAGACCATTGTAATGGAGTGGATGAGGACCTATAAGCTGAAGCTGAATCTCAACAAGATGGAGATGCTGTGGCTAGGGGCTTCTCTGGTCTGGGAATTAGGTAGCCCAGCTCTG